GTATAGCAGTGAATTCTCCATAACCAAACGTTTTAAGGCTAATTACTATTAGTAATTATTATACCTTCTTTAAACATTTCTATCTTTTTCTTAATTTTATTTTTAATAAGAATATTTGAACTCTTCATCTAACTTTTCATTCACCAGTACTTTTTAATTTTCATTTTAACTAAAATACACTATAAATATAACAGTTTTTTGTGCTGTCATCTAAACATAATTGCTATATATGAAAGAATTTTTATTTTTATAATAATTAATATAAAAATTATATTATAATTGATTGATAGTATAAAAGTCTTCAGATTAATAATTTATAAAAATTAAACTGAATTTCTTAAAAGAATTATTCAATTAAAAATTGTATTTACTTAGTATAATGTAGTGTTTTTTGATGTTCTTATTTATCTGTTATTAGATAATTAGAGTGAAAGACACGTGTGTGTGTATATATATATATATATATATATATATATTATAATAATAATTATTCTAGCATAATTAATTAAAATTAAATTAGAAGGCATAAAAATAATCATGAAAGGAAATTGAAGAAATTTTTATTCATGTCAAAGCAATTCAAGTAATACACGCTCGTATTGTAATTTATAAAATGACAATGGTAGAATCTCAAACACTCATTTCTAAATGCTTGTTGATTCGTTGAAAATAAATTTAAAATATGCAACACCTACTTGAAATAATGTTATATTATTATAAATTTATATTTAATTATTATTTTTAAAATTTCTAATTAATATTTAAAACAAGTGGATAAAAGTAATTAATATGTTGATTACAAAATTTTCTAACTATTTTAATTTTTAAATTTAAATTATAATAATATATTTAGCTCAATTGAAAATAAAATTTTTAAATAAAAATATAATTTTTATTTTATAGAAATTAATGAATACCTACATTATTATGAAATCGTATTAACATTTAAATTTATATAAAAATATATTAATATTTAAATATATAATAACAGTTTTATAATTCTTTTTACTTTATCTTTATGTATGTTATATATATATATATATATATATATATATATATATATATATATATTAATATTTAAATATATAATAACAGTTTTATAATTCTTTTTACTTTATCTTTATGTATGTTATATATATATATATAATGTAATATCTGGTTTCAAACTTCGTATGAATGTTTCAATATTTGAATTGGAGAAAAATATTTCCTTTACAATAAAAGTATGTCAATATATAAAATATAAAGGTAAATTTTCTAGTTACATGTGGATGAATTTTATATAAAGTTTATTAACATATAAATTATGAGTTAAATATTTGTAAAATAAGACAATTTTATTTTTATTTAAATAAATATTGTGAATTTAAACTTAAAATTACATGTTAGGAAATTGTTTTTTATAAGTATGTGAAAAAATAAATATTTATATTATGTATTTATAAAAAAACTTATAAAATATATGTATTGTTCTAAAAACATTTTTTTCTTTTCTTATATTTTCTTATTATTTTTTAAAAAGTAAAAATATTGTATTTAAACATAACGAATTCAAAAATAATTTTATATATACTCTAATAATTATATTGTAATATTTTTTCTATCTATCTTTAAGTTATTTTTTATAATATGATTGAATATAAGTAATATATGTTATTCTAAAATGGTGTGTCCTGATGTGGTACTCTAAATTTTTTTTTTATAGATACCGTATTAAAAAATTTAAACTAATAAAAATAAAACATGTAACAAGTTAAAAAAATATATTAATATATATAATTTATTTAAAATTATATTATTTATATTATTTATTATATGGTCCTATTATATATATAGTATATTAAATTTTTATTTTATTTTATTATTATTTTTTAATAAATTTTTAGTTTTAAGTAAATATAATTTATATTTAAGTAATTTCTATTTATTATAAATAAAAAGAATTATAATATAATATATTAATATAATAATTAAATGATTGAATATTAATAATAATAAAATTAAAAATATAAAAAATATATTAATATAATATTATTATTTTATTTTTAAATTTTAATTGGTTTAGTTTTGGTTATATTTTTTTACTATTCAAAAATTTAATCACTTTTCAGCTTATTTAAATATAACAAATATAATAATTTATCATTAAATAAATTTATTATTTAAATACGTGTATAAATATTTTTAATTTTAAATAAAATATAATTTTTATTTATTATAAATAAAAAATTATAATATAATATATTAATATAATAATTAAATATTAATAATAATAAAATTAAAAATATAAAAAATATATTAATATAATAATATTATTTTATTTTTAAATTTTAATTTATTTAATTTTAATTATATTATAATTTTTTTAAATATTTAATATTCTTTAACTTATTTAAATATAATAATTTATTTATTAAATATTAATAGTTAAAACTTTTTATGTACTCAGAAAATTTGTTTAGATACCACGTAATTTATCCTCTAAAATTATATACAGGATTGTATGTACCCACGTATATATGCACTCACAGCCGTGTACGGAAAGAAGAACAACTTAAATAAAACGATATTGATTAAAATATACACCGTATAGAGGATAAAAAATTGTATGAAAATATAAATTTAGTGATATTTGAATTTTAAAATAATTAGATAATTACAGTATATAAATAATATTTTTAATATATATATATATATAGAAAAGATCTTCTTATAAATATAAAGTCTAAAAATTCTTACATTTAATTTAAACTTTTCATTTAATTTAAATTTAAGTGAAATAATAAATTATAATTTGTTAAATTTAAATTAAATAAAAAATTTAAATTAGGTGTAAGAGTTTTTAAATTTACATTAGTGTAAGAAGACCCTGCTCTATATGTATATATATAAATATTTATATGATAAAAAAAATAGAAACATTTAAGTTGACAGAGAAATCTTGTTTTTGTAATTTAATTTATTTTTATATTTGTTATGATTTATAATGAAAAACTTATGCAAAATATGTTGTGAATACTAAATTCTATCTTATCTTTATTATTTTTTTACTTTATTTAGTTTTAATCTCTAATTATTTACGTCTTTTCTTAATACTTCTGTCAATATTGTGTTTATGTATTTTATTGTTCTCTGTTTGTTCCGAATTATAACATTATATTAAACATAAAAGGCAAAACAAAAATCAGTTGTCATATTCCATTACCTTGCTCAAACTACTCCTTCAACAGCTTGCTAGAATTAAGGGATGACAAGTGATTTTCGTGTAAATGAAGGGAAAAGCAATGTACAAATTAAAAGGAGAGAATAATTAATAGAATTCACAATAACATTGAGAGCACTCAAAATTTGGAAGAATAGTGAACAAAATTTGAAATAAGAGACGGGAAAAGCAAACGTTTTGAAGGTTACACTCAACAAACGGATCAAGCGTCAATTTGAAGCAAATTCTTGAGTAATATTATCTTTTCTTTCTTACTTGGTTGAATTCAAAGCTTGGGTTCTTTAATGTGTTTTGTACGGTGCACTATGCTCATCCATTTATAAGCATACGCAAATATACACCCTGTCAAAACACTACAATCAACTTCAAGATTCCGACGCTATAATCAAATTTCATCTTTATTTTATACTTATTATCATTGTTATTTTTATTAATGTTATTGTTATTATTATTATTATGTTCTATGTATTTTTTTAAAAATTTATTATTAATCTGTATACAATTGTCTTTTTAATTTTTATTTTCTTTCAAACAATTAAAGATAGAAAAATATCCCCGATGACAAAATTAGGACAATATATTGTAATAGTATTATGCAATTTTAGATTGCTTACACATATTATGCAATCGTAAGAATACATGTATGATCATGATTGCTCTGTACTTTGTGAAATACCAAAAATTAATCAAAATCATGTAAGTATACTATCATCAAAATTAATCAAGGAAAATTATAAGTTAAATTAATTTAGTTTTCACTCAAAATTTTATATGTTACTAGCAATTAAATATATGAATAGAAAAATTATTTATTATATATTAAGACAAATTCATTTAATATAATTTTATAAGTATAAATACTTTTATATTTTATTTTAACAATTTATGTCTATTTATTGATAAATTATTTTCTTATAACAGATATATTTTTATTTTATATTTTATTATAATAATATCTCCTCAACGGAATTTAAAATATATAATTTAATATATTTATATTTTTTTATCATCTTTAATGTAACTTAGCTTTACAATGCATATGCATAAATGATATAATAAATAAAAATAAAAAAAGGTAGAATACAAAAGTAGAAAAGCAAAGCAGAAACAACAAGAAAACAAATCAATATTAAATTTTATATATTTATATATATATATATATATATATATATATAATGTACTTAATCATAAATATTTAAAAATAAGTATTCATAAGGTATTACTTAAAAGTATAAAGAAATCAAATAGATGGTATAATTAAATTATACTTGCATTGTTCAAATTAAAAATAATGTAACTAAAATATTGTAAAAAATAATCAAGTAAAATTTTAAAAAATAATTTTGATTACACACACGAATTTATATATTACCAATAATTTCGTATATGAATAAAAAAAACAATTTATCATATATTTTGAAAAAATTTAATATTGTTTAATATAATTATTTTAATAATTACATTATAACCGTTAATATTTTTATGTTTTATTTGAACAATTTATACCATTTAATGACAAATCATTTTGTCATAACAAATATATTTTTATTTTGTTTTATTTTATTTTATTTTTATAATAATATCTCCTCATATAAATTTTAACACATTTATATTTTCCATTATTTTTAATTTAACTTAACTGTACAATGCATAAGTGATATAATAATTAATAAAAAAATAATTTGCTAAACAAGAAAAAGAATATAAAAATAGAAAAGCAGGCAGAAACAAGAAGAAAAGAAATGAATAAAGGGAGGCTATTTTTGTGTGAGGAAAAGAGATCCAAGGGAGGAGAATGTACTAGGCCAAAATAAGTCCCCCTGAAAACGCAATCATGGGTGGCAGAAACAGAAGCTCAGCACGAACAAATCCAAAGCTTTCGGTTACCCCACAAAAAAAATAGTTAACCGAAGCCACTATTTGTTGCTGCGAATCCCTTCCACCCCCTTTGTTGTCTCTCTTTCTCTCTCTCTCTACTTCCCACTCTCTCTCTCTCTTTCTCTCTCTCTGATCTGCGACCAGATCTCGCTCCGATTCCGCAATGGCGAGCGCTGCCACTCCACGCGAAGAGTTCGTGTACATGGCCAAGCTAGCGGAGCAAGCCGAGCGCTACGAGGAGATGGTGGAGTTCATGGAGAAGGTCTCCACCGCCGTCGAGAACGAGGAACTCAGTGTTGAAGAGAGGAACCTCCTCTCCGTCGCTTACAAAAACGTCATCGGCGCGCGACGCGCTTCCTGGCGTATAATCTCCTCCATCGAGCAGAAGGAGGAGAGTAGAGGCAACGAGGACCACGTCACCGTTATCCGTGACTACCGATCCAAGATCGAAGGCGAACTCTCCAACATCTGCGACGGAATCCTCAAGCTCCTCGACTCGCGCCTCATTCCTTCCGCTTCCGCCGGTGATTCCAAGGTTTTCTACCTCAAGATGAAAGGCGATTACCACAGGTACCTCGCCGAGTTCAAGACCGGCGGCGACCGCAAAGAGGCTGCGGAGAGCACTCTCTCCGCCTACAAATCCGCTCAGGTTTGGTATTTTTATGATTTTCTCTTTTTTTGCGTTTCATATTTGTTTGCTTTACTCGCCTTATTCGTAATTTTTACGTGTTCTGTGTGTTTATTTTCACACGAGCGCTTGATTTAGTGAATTTTAGATTGGAAGAACGGAATCTGTATGACTATAACAGCGATTTTGAAAATGAAGGAAGATGAAAATGGGGAATTAGTGGTTTTAAAATTGAAAATATTGAATCAGTGGATTAATTTGTGTGCGAGTTTCGTTTACCATTTCAGGATTGTGTTTCTGCGGTGGAGATGTTTCTTCCTTTGTTTTGTTTGAACCGTTTCTGTTTTTTTTTCAATTTCTTGTATCTTGCGATTGATCTGTGGCTTTCTAGAATTGGAGATTTTCTTTAGTTGGAATTATTCGCTTTGATTTTGAATGGTGGATTCTGTGCGCAGTCGTTTTCTGATTTTTTTTATTTGACCGAGTGTGCAGGACATTGCGAATTCTGAGCTGCCTCCGACGCATCCTATCAGGCTAGGTCTTGCTCTGAATTTCTCTGTGTTCTACTATGAGATTCTGAACTCACCTGATCGGGCTTGCAACCTTGCAAAACAGGTTAGTTTTTGAGAAATTGGTTTTGTTTTAAATGAATGCTAATTCGATTAATTGTGGTATTTCCTGCGAGAAAAACAAGATTATCATTGCAACAACTGCATATTGTAGTTTCATAACTTAATTATGTTGAAGTAACCTTGTTGCTGGGTTCTGGTGTCTAAACAGGAATGTATAATGATTTTTCATTGATAAATTTGTACTCCTAAAATGGTATGTAATCATGAATAATTCTCTTTATTTTGATATTCACTAGGCTTTTGATGAGGCCATTGCTGAATTGGACACATTGGGAGAGGAGTCGTACAAGGACAGCACTTTGATCATGCAACTTCTCCGTGATAACCTCACCCTTTGGACCTCTGACATGCAGGTATGGCTTTTTAGTTTTTCACCAGTTCCGCTATTGCAACCAATAAAAATTGACACCATTTTTTCACACCATATATCGTTGTTTTCTAATAATTGCTTTTTGGGAGGGAGGGAGACCTAATTTTGTAATAATTATTTTTTATTTTTCTCATACTTCTTATCTTTTCTGTATACATGCATTACAAAAATACACCCTTATTACAAAAGAAACACCTAAAGGTGTGTTCCCTTTAGTGGTACAAAAGAGGATTTCCTGCTAGTCACCATATATTTTTTTATCTTCTTATCGCTTCATCATTATCTTTAGAAATCTGTTAATTGATTTTGGTGTAACTTTGTTGGGGTTTCAGGATGACGGTGCAGATGAAATTAAAGAAGCTGCACCCAAAGGTGACGGTGAACAGCAGTAAAATATTATACTACTAATTAGTTATTGAACTTCCCTTCTGTAATGTTTTTAAAAGGAGAAGGTGCTGATTGCTAATCTCGATGCTTCTGAGATTTTGGGCATTCATGGTCTTTGTTATGAATTCTAGATGTACTGGGCTTATTTTAGTTTGTCCTTCCATTTGTACTCGTTTCTGAATTTCCCTCATATGCAATTGGAATATTGAGATTATATTCCCTTTACCAGACTTGATGTCGCTGATATTTTTAGGATGTGAAGGTGTGACCTTTATTTGTATTCGCCTTGAAGTAAGAATTTTACCCGATTTTAACGTGTTTTGTGAGGATTGTCCACTTCATTCTGTTTAGATGGCCTGCTTTTGTTGAACTTGAGCGCTGTTTATGTGCAACGCACATGGAAGTATTTGATCCAAAAAATATTATTTATAATTTTCAAATACCTCCTTTCCGCATGCTAATTTTAGTGGTTGCATTCGAAGTAGTGAAGAAACGGAAATTAGAGAGTTTGGTGCTTTTATAGGTTAGACCTAAAAAACATTCATGGTGCTTCCTAGCCACGGTGTGGTGGTTTCAATGACTCGACTACTATTACTTGGTAACCCGTCTCAACTTGGTGAAAGAGTTGAGTTTTTTTTTTTATTATTAAATATTTAAGAAACTTAAGGATTTTTAGAACTTTGAGGAAATTTGTCGTATTTAAAGCGCAAAATGTCCGGCTAAGCATTGAGTGGTACTTTCTTTTTATGTTCATGTCGCTTGGCCCTATTTCAAGGTAAAATATTAAGCAAGAAAGAGGCAAAGATAATGCTTGTTATTGTATTATCATTTGTTTGATTCAAATTACTTCCTTTTGCAATGAAAAAGATATAAGAAATTTAATTAATTTATGTATAATATGTGGATCCCGATAACTAGTGCTTTAAAGCATTAATTAAAGAATTAATAAATAGAATATTTTGTTAAAAATCACTGTAAGAGTCATAAAAAATTATGAGATACATTGATAATATTTTTTTTTTTAATAAAAACTTCATTTTGAACATTTTAACCAGTAACTTGAAGGATAGATGTTAATACTCTCTTTCTCTCCCTCTCTCTCCCACTCATCTATATCATGGATACACAGAGAATAGGTCAAATCCTGCTATGGAGAAAAGAAAGGGAAAGTTTTAGATAGTGTTTAAAATTCCAACTTTCGACCACTCGTGTCTACAGGGATGGGCAATTAGGCGCATCTGTAATGCTTTCATCTTAATAAATGCCAAAACCCATAATTTAAAATTCCTTAAGGTTGTACGACTGAAAAAAAAATCCCTTTGATTCCATACAACTTCAAACGAGAATCGTTACCAACGTCAGATATCAACTTTTCTTTCAAAAAATGTGTGAACAAATAAAGTACAAGAGATAAAATTATAGTTTCCTTCCTTGCAAGATTCGTCCACACAGTTTGGTTTGGAGCATTAAATTTTTTTTCGCAAGTTGCAAGGACAAAAAAGAAGCTGAAAGAAACTAAATTTGGCATTACAGGACGTAAAATCCAATATTCGAATCCAGCTAGACCTCAAACGAAAATACCCAAGAGAAAACCCAACGTCAGAAACACGTCTTTGCAACAATGAAACTCGAAATAGTTAATTACCCAATTTATCCTTAATACTGCAATTAGCACTAGAGCCAAGCCTAGTTTCACCTCAATCAACTAGCACAAAAGAATACAGAATTTCTACGATTACCGAAATCATCAAATCTTCTTTTACCTAGTCCAAAATACATCAGACCATGTGTGGTTTATAAGGACCGAAACAAGGTTTCAAATTACTAGTCTTTATACCATTATAATTGCAGCCACACTTATCCGTAATTTCGTATAATATTAAGATTTTTTTAAGGTCTTAACAGCCGCAAAAGTTTGGGCTTAAACAATTCTTGTAGACCACCTCACTTTACGAATTCGTTAATTTAAAAAATATACTTCCCATAATTTTATAATATATGCTGAAAATTTGTTTATAAATGGAATTATATATATAAATAGTATTTCATAATTTTAATAAAAAATGAATAGCTAATTATTATTATTATTAATAAGCGGAATGTTTGTAAAAAAAGTCATATTCTACCTTTATTGAAACAAAATACAAGTATTTCCTTTATTTATTAAAAAAAAAAAACTCTAGTACTCTGATTTTTCATTTATTATGAAAAAGTGTAATGCGTGGTAAGGGTTTGGAGATGACACTTGTATACGTTACTAATTCATAAATCCAATAAATTCAATTACTGGATATAGCATTTTTCCTATTTGCCATTTATCTGAAAGTTTAATATTGGAATTTATTAGTTCAACTGTAAAATTATTTTCTTGGTGTGCATTAATGATTTCTCTTTGTTGATAGTTAAAAATTAATAGTTTTTTAGATATAAAGATCATAAAATGGATTTTATCTTTTTTAATAAATTGTTTTCTATACACACAACTACAATTTTAACACTAATTAACATGATTAAAGAAAATAGAAGTTTAGAGCATGTTTGATTTACTTTTTAAAAATAAAAAAAAATAGTTTTTAGTTTTTAAAAATAAAATCAAACATACTTTTAATATTTGATATCTTCCTTTTTATAAGAAATAAATTATTAATTCTTTAAAATTAGGGAAAATTAAATATATATCATGAATTTATATTTTATTCTAAAAATATTCATATTAAATAACTGAATAAGTAGCTTAATATATTAAATGAGTAAATCCCTTGTTAACATAAATTTTATAATAAAATAAGAGTATAAAAAATTAAGTGATTAATACATCAGAAAATGTATCTATATTTTTTACAATTACAATAAAAAAAAATAGTCCTTATTGTTTCCTATAAAAAGAATAAAAAGATAAATAATACTATTACATTTGAATTAAATTTTATGATTTGTAATTTTGTTGTATCTCTATTCTAATATCTTAGTTAGATACTATCATATCTTGGCTTACATATTGTAACCTCTAATATTTTATAAATCACATTTCTTTTTATTCTCCAAAAATAGCACCTCTCCCACTTCCTCCTCCAACCTTGCCTTAATGATGGTTGCATTAATCTCAACCTTGCCTTTACTCATTAATTAAAAATACTTAAAGGGATGATCGAACCAAAAATAAAAAAATAAAATAAACTTACATTTTCCATTGGCTGAACTCACTTCAACTAGTGGGAAGATGTGAATGGGTTTAATGGTAAATTACATTCTCTTTTCTCTTCCTTTTGCCAATCAAACAAGAGGTCCCTTCCCTTTTGTCAGCCCACTTCCATATTAAAATTTTTCTCTAAACTTTCCCTCCTTTGAGCTAAACATAATTTATACAGTGCAAAGCGAAAATTGCATAAAGCTATGTTATTTTGCAATTCTCTTACTATAATAATATTTCTTTGATTATTCAATATCAAATTATCAGTACTCTAAAATTAACTATCCAATTTCCCTCCTTAAATAATGGAGAACAAAATCTCAAACCATTTCTTCCTAAATCATAGCTTGAATTAGTTTCTTATTCTCTTTAAAATTTTCCATATTAGAAGAAAAAAATATTTGAGAGCATACAAGAAGATGACGGTATAGCTAAATCCTTGAATGAGACAGATCAAAGAACACAGGTTCAAGTTTTCTTTTATAACTTTTGAACCTAAAAGTTTTAAGCTTATTATCGTACTAAATTCAAAACTACTGAGTTAAACCTCTCATTCCATCAATGCTACATCAATACATCATTAGATTTTGTACATTTAAGACATTACTTCATTATCTTTTTCTAGTTATGAACCTGTCAAGAATTTGGTTTATGAAGATCATAAATTTTAATTAAATCTTAAACATTATTGAGAAATTAGCTTTTTATTTATTCTAAATAACTCACCCTAAATACAATATAATCATGGTATTATAGCAATTCTCACATATTTTCTGCAATGTTAAGATCAATAACTTTGATAGTCTTTACCCAAATATTTTTACAGCAAGACTATGTTGCTTGAAGAACCACATAATTTTGTTGATTCAAGTGATAAGCAACTTGTGACCCAACAAACATGCATTTAAAATTTTGGTTGACACGAAGAGAGACACCCATTAAATGCCACCTGACTTAGGAAAGAACGTTTTCTTATGTCTCACCTTTTGTTGATTAATTAATTAATTAATTTAAAAAAAGAGAAAAAATAACTAAAGCATTCTATACATCCTTCTGGTTCTATTTAACATATCAAACTACAAAATTCGCGGCAAGAACAAAGTTTAGAAGCATTAACCAATAGCTTGTGTCATAAACAGTATATTTAATTTCCCACTTGATCAACAATTGTTACATTAACCAGCAACAATTTATTATAAACAATAAAGACAAAAAAATGTTTATACAATACTTATTAATTTTTTCGAAAAGTTATATGAAATACAAATCTTTTAGTTTTCTATAAGTTTTATCCTTTTATTAAACACTATTTTTTATTTGTCTTTAATAGATATCATTAAACTAAAAAAATTTGTGTTTTAGATGAGTGTAAATGAAAAGGAAGAAAATAAAGAAGAATTATTACATTTATATTATTTATTGGATGGATGAAGATGCAGAGAATATAATAAGTTAAAGTGTAAACGAGTTGAGTTAAATACATAAAATTCAAGTTTGACATGTAAAAAATATATATTTAAATTTATCTCATTTATTTATATGAATTAAACTTGAAGTGCGAGCTTACTTTAATTAAAAAAAAAAATCAAAACTTAGACTTGACTCACTTATTTATTTTTACAAATTTTGAATAAAAAAAATATTTATTATATTTAATATATATTTATACTAAAAAGTAAAGTAAAATAGTAATAAAACTAAATCTATCTGCATAAAGATGTTTAAGATTGGAAATAGTAGTAAAATCCTTTATTATAAAAATGGTTCATAAACTATTGATGTTAATTTTATAAATTTAATAAAGCAAATTTAAATTAAACTTATTTATTTATTGTTACTATTATTAAACTTATTTTTTTATGTGATAAAAATTATTTATTTAACTAAATAAACAAGTTTGATGAAATATTTAACAATTAAACTTAAATAGTTTTCGAGTGACTTAACTTATTTGTTAATATGAGACCCATATCTAAGTAAAATTCGTCCTCATTAGGCGTGAGATGAGGAGGGGAAGTGGCTGCATTTTCTTTATTGTGTTTTAATTTTTAAAACTAAAATTACTTTTATGGCATAATAAATTTAATAAAAATAGGATTTTTTTAATTTATTTTTATAGATATTTTATTTTATATTATTATATTATATGTTGTAATTTGCATATTTTTTATCTTTTACCTAATTTTATCATGTTTTATCTTATAAAATTCATACATTGAATTATTGGGAATTTATATTAGAATAAATATCATTTCATATTTCTTTATTAAATTACATTTTACACCCACATTCTAATCATTTGTCTTTTATTCATTAATATTTTCAAGATAAACGTCTTTTTTCTGAACACTAAAAAAAAGCATAAAAAGAATATAAAAGTCATGACTCATATTAATGAAATATTTATTTTTTCACATTTACAAATTTTTATTACTCAATTCATATTCTACCTTCTCCATATTGCAAAAAGTAATTTTTCTCCTCCAAATGAATGCATGGATAGGGTAGTACAATTTTTTTTCTTCTTTTTTTAATCATTTTCTTCTTTCAATATTTTTTTTTTATACCAATATACTTAAAAAGTACAACTCTATTATTAATTATACCAAGACTTTGTTGGTTAACTTTAGGTCTCTCTTTTATTTCATCACTATTTGCTCGCACCTATCTCAAATTCTCAATCCTGTCCGTGAGATAATCATTATTGATAAAAACTTGGACATAAAAATAGCATTTTAATTTCAAAAATATTTTTAAAACAATTTTAAGAGATGACCTTTAATATAACTTGTTTTCTAAAAATATTTCTATATATAACGACATAATAATGGTTCCAGTTCCGTTGTAACATGACAACATGATGACCATTAGCAGCATAAGGAAAAGTAGGCAGGGTTAGAAGCAGTTTCAGTCCACCCACCGGCAATTGAAATTCCCACGACCTAAAAATCCATCTAAATAACAAGACACACGACAACACACTAAACATTACAAGTTTAGAGATTAACAAAACTAAAGCACAATTTTTTACATACTTTTTACTAATCAAACCTAATAACATTATATTTAGATTTTTTTGTCAAAATAAAATTCCAATTTTAATTAAACTACGACTAAGTTTTGTCTTTTAAAGATCTCTCCAACCAGGGCTTGTTACAGGCACAGTCGGTGAAACGGGAACCAGTGGGAATCCCAACGAATTGAAGCATCCAAAATGAACCGGCGAAGAAGCCATCACAAATTCTGACTCTGAAGAAGAACCCATCGAATTCTGCAGAAAGCTCATGTACGCGGAGACAGGGGACTCCGCGTGCACGCTCGGAAACGGCGGCAGAGGAGACGGAGGTGGGACGGAAGCGTACGGCGGAGGACGGTGGCCAATAATCTGCGGCAGCGGCGGAGGGCGCAAGCGGTGAAGGCGAGAGGTTGAAACCGGCTTGGGTTGCTGGTGGTGACTGGGTGAACCGGTAAGCTTTTGGACCATGTCCCTGAAATCGTTCTTGCTGATGTTGTACACGTGTGCCTGTGGCTGAGACTCAGGTTGCGCGTGTTTGCTGATGGTGTGGTTTTGAGAAGCGTCAAAGGTGGCTTTTTTAATGTTGGGTTTGGAAATGTTATGGGAGAGTTTGTTGAGTTGTTTGAGGTAGTGATCTTTGTTGGAAAAAGAAGGGTCAACAGAGGATTCATAGTTTTTGTGATCCATTACTTTTTAGGCTTTGTCTTACGGAAGAGAAAGAAAAGAGTATATAAAGGGATAGAGGGGAATTGGGAAGAAAATGAGATTTCTGGGCTTAAAAGGTGGAGTTAAGTTATTCATCAAAGGGTTTGTTAGTAGTCACTGTTATGAGTAACGAGGGAGTGATGAAATTAAAGGGTGGAGAAAAATGGAAAAAGAAGATGTTGGCTGTTTGGCATTTTTAATAGATGCTTAATTTAGATGGCACGTCACCCTCACAAGATTAAGATGGCCGGTTAATCATTCAGGCCTTTGACCAAACGTTATGTTCTCCATCCAAAAACTTAGAATCAAGAAATCAATTTTCTTATTATATGGAAAGGTGTTTTATGGAAACTGTTTGGTAGAGTCTCTGCACTTTGAGAGAAGAATAAGAATACAAAACTGGCAAATGGTACATGATCTAATATGATAAGAAGGAAAAGATAAAGAAAAGAAAAACAATATTAAATAAGTGTTAGTATTATTTGAGAATTTTAAAATTAAAATTGATATTTTAAACTATTCATAAAGTATAACTTGTTTCTAGAATCTAATGTTTAAAAGGCGTATAATAATAAGGAAAAATTGTTTATTATTCTGTGCTTTGAAGTCTTACATCTACAGCAGTTTAAATATAATATTTATTGATAAAATTATTTTTGTTATTAGATGAAGTCTAATGCTAATTAAGTTTGCAAAAGCTTACACAAAATTGAGTTTTGTCTATTTTGATTATTATTCTATGCGCCTAAATTAAATTAAATTTTTTAGCTTAGTTCACTAAAATTTGCTACTCACTGCAATTAACTTAAATGGGTTGAGTAATCTATTTTATAAACTCTAAAGTTAGCATTATTTGATTTGAAAAAAATAATTATCAAATATTACTTTATTTTTATTCTTTTTAATATTTTAAAAGATTATATAAAAATAGTGAAAATATAAAAAAATCTTTTTATTATTATTTTATATAAATTTAATTATGAAAATAAAATAGAATTTGTGTTATTAAAAGTAAAAACAAGAAATAAAAAATTAACAAGGATTTTTTACTTTTAAAATAAAATTCTAGTTTGAAACTTATAAGCTTGAAAAGGAAAAGGATATTGAGATACTTTATGTTCTTAAGTAATTTACTTATACTGATTTAAATAAATCGATGCCTTTTAGCGCGAATTTGATTATTAGTAAAAAAAAAACTAATATTATAAAAAGCAACTTTTTAATAGTAGATTAATGAAGTGCAATTTGTACTCTAACACGTAAGAGAATGTAAATCTTATATTTTTTATTCTTAATTTAATATTATTTTATAATTTTATAAATTTTAATAAGTGAATAAAAATATATTAAAAAGTGCTAAAAAAAGGGCTACTTTTTTTATATGGTTTTTATTTTTCAAAATACAAAAAGTATGAAATTTTTTGTAAAATTACAAAAATATGAAATTCAAAAATTGTTATTAAAAATTTTTGGTGCAGTATAAATATTTAGATATAAAAAAATAATAAATTTTTAAAAGTCACTAATAACGATTTTTAAAAAAATATAAAAAATTAAAAGTTATTTTAAAAAAATAATTAAATATTTAAAAAATATATCAAAAGTCACCCGTGATAGATTTTGGTCAAAAATTATCAATAATGACTTTTTAAAAAATTATATTTTCATAATTTTACAAAAACAATTATATTTTTAAAATTTTAAAAAAATCATATATAAAAAAAATTCCCTAAAGAAAGTCTTTTTCTTTTTAAATAACTTTTAAGCGAGTGATTCACGGGGCGAGTGTCAATATCAATCATCGTCACCCTCTGGCTAGTCAAACATGCTACAGTTCAGGTTTTGTTAACGTTTTGAAACTTGCATTGGTTGCCCTAGACTTGCGAAATTTTAGAAATTTTTTGTTTAAACAATTGTTTTTATAATTACAAGCGAGATCGAGAAGAGGACAAAGTGCAAAAACAAAAAAGCACAGATACTATTAGAAATAAAATAAAATATTATAAAAAGTATAATATTAATGTAACTCTAATGAATAGGCCCATTAAACTCAATGATTTATGATAGAGTGAATAGGTTGGAGACCGTTGACCAAAATAACAAGAAACAGTGAGAGACGCAGACAAAAATAAGAAAACAGAAATTTTTATTTAAAATATTCGTGATTTTAAAACATCATCCATTGTTGGGCTACTTTTTTTATATATAATTTTTTTTAAATTAAAAAATATAATTTTTTTTGCAAAATTATAAGAATATAGAATTTAAAAATTGTCAATAGCAATTTTTGATATAATACAAAAATTTAGAAATATAAAAAATAAAAAAATGATAAAGTTTTAAAAGTAGCAATGACGATTTTTAAAAATAATATTAAAAAATAAAAAAATAAAAAATTATCAATGTTAATTTTTTTAAAAATAATTAAATATTTAAAACGTACGTCAGCAGTTTTTTTTTGCTAAAAGTCGCCAATGATAATTTTTTTAAAAAATTATATTTTCACAATTTTGTAAAAAAAAATATATTTTTTGAATTAAAAAAAAACTATATATAAAAAAATGTTCTTCTATTGTTGAATTTAAAATATTCAAATTTTATTTAATATTTATTATTCATAGACAAACCAATGAAAGAGATTTTTTATATTATTTTCTCATATATTTTATGTCAGTTTAATGAATTACGATAAATCTATCTTTATGAGTTTATTCTATTTATTTTTAGTGTAATCCTCTAATAATTGCTGCTTTCAAACCATTCAAAATGCTTTATCTGATTGATGATTGCTTGTGTCTGAATTCAATCATACTTTCATGGGATTTGAAATTTATAAATTTTATTAGAATTATTCTCAAACTCTCTGTTCCTCTCGTGTGTTTAGATTGCCTAACTGGTATGTCTTGATACCCATTTTCTCTAACTATGAAGGAGTATATGCTATATTTGTTTCATGAATCCTCTTTAACTTACAAGAATTTTTCTTTACAACAATATATATCCCTTCCTATTCTTATGTTAACAAACCTCTCGTACTATAAGTCTTGCAACTTCATCTAGAAGAGGTAGATTATAAACTCTTGCATCTCTAAGCCTAGTTCTAAACAATCTTAAGAAGTGCATCAAATTCCATAAAAGTTTTGGAGGTACTTTTAAAACAGAAAGTTCTACATTTTCTCTCATACAACATTCTGAGAAATTTGGATTTAAGCGTATGCCTTAAGTTTTCTGTATGATCTTCACACAACATAATTTCTTTGCATGAAGAACAGGTATGAATTGGGTCTCCTAAATCTAGAAGTTCTAATTCCATATGATACAGAAGAAGTACACAAGAAAATTATAAGACCGTATAATATGAATATATAGTTTTGTTTTCCTTTATTTATGTGTCTTGATATTTACTTCTGCCATTATAATTTAACTTCTCTATTCAACATTTGTCTCTAATAACACAACTAAGTATCGAAAGTACATTATTGTTATACGAATATTTACATTATGAATGTTGAGTGATATTTTTATCTAATGATTCTAAACGGGAACTCTTCTGTTGAAAATTAAGATCATTGATGAAGTGATATGCATTTCTAGTAACAGGAACAATAACTGATGATTTCTAAACAACTAACTTTAGTTTTTTGAATAGGAAGGGATGGATTAATAACTTTAGAACAACTTGAATTAGCAACGGAAGTGATTGTCCTAATTTTGTCCAATATAAAATAAAAAAGGGTAATTATAAATTGAAAAGTTAAATTTAAATTGGTTAACATGCATAAAAAGATATATTTGTTCAAAATAATGTCATAGAGCTTGCTGTTGAATTTTTGTATATTTAAGTAATGTAATCCTTCATTGTTTAGAAATGGTTCAGAAGATTTTGATAAAATAGAATAAATTCCAGCATATAAAGTTGATTTATGAAATAAAATTAATTCACATGTTTAATTTTGTAGAACAATTTTAGTATGATTTGATAAATATAAACTTGAAGTACCTTGAAGAAATTAGTTCAATTGTTACAAGAATTGTTGTTTGTACATTTTTGTCTGCATTGTTTAGTGAATTTGATAAAATAGTAGGACTACTAGAATTTGAAGATTCAGACCAACAAGCAATATAATCAAAAATAGATAAAACACCTAAATTATAAGACAAATAAGCTTCTCCATACCATACTAGTGCATGTTGAATCCATGCAAAGTAAAGGTGTCCATCGGATCGGATAAATTAATGAACCCAATGATCTAAATCGATCCAAATTTTAAAACAATCCAAACCAACACTTAACATGTCTGATCCAATCCAAACTGATCAAATCCAATATAGTTTTATTTCTATAACAGGTCAGCATAGTTCTAACTTGTAGACTTAATGACATATCCGATTAATCTGTTAACTTGTATTGAGTTTTTTTTTTTAAGAAAAAAATATACCCTCACATGTTTTTTTTGTTTTGAATTTGTGTATTTGTGTTAGAATGTTGTGTAATTATGTTAAAATTATATGTCAAGAATTATTCGAATAGAAAAAATGACATTTTTTTATGTTTTCTTATATGTTTTTTGTTTTAAGTTATTTAATCGAATAATTTAATGATCCAAATTGAATCAACATGTTCATGTTTAGTTTGAATTTTTAAATTTTTTTGCACAAATCTGAACCAAATCAAACTATTCCATTTATTGGTTCATATTATTTTTTCTCCCAAATTCGAATCAAACTGGCCCGTGGACACTGCAAAGAGTTTAGTTAAGATATGCCAGATTCCACCAAATATACAAATAGAACCCAACCATACATGCTCCCCAATTATATCTTCCAAATCATCCACACTAAAAATTCATTCTTCTCCTCCAAAAGGTGATTTTAATAAATAACCAAATATAATACTTGGACAAAGGGTCAAGTTGGTAATATACATCTCCCTTGGAGCCCGAGTATCATATATACCTCCAAAATAAAGAGCCTTGAATACTAAA